TTAACTCTGTTTTCTCCTCCACAGATGCTGCCAGACCTGCTGAGCTTTTCCAGCAACTTTGTTTTTGTTCCTGATTTACAGCATCCGCAGTTCTTTTGGTTTTTATAGATAGGTTCATGATTAGTAAGGGGATCAAGGGTTGTGAGGAGAAAGCAGGAGAACAGGGTTGAGAAACATATCAGCAATGATTGAATGACTGAGCAGACTCATTGGGCTGAGTGGCATAATTGTGCTCCTATATCTTATGGTTGTTTCATAGCCAGAGTCCCGTTGTCCAAGTGATTATGTCAAATAGTTTGTTGTCACCCAGTTAAATATGCAGATGATTATCTGGATGTTTTGCTAATGAATAGGAGTTGTCCCCAGTTAGTCTCCTTCAAGGCAATTGTTCCTGGTGAGGCTTTGCTGATGGGTTTCCTCCATTTCAAAGGCTTTTGAAAGTGGAAGGTCCAGTGATGCAAATGGTTAGCTATCTTTGACTGTGATTGCAAATCCTTGGAATGTGGCCTCAGCCTTTCTAAAATAAAATCAATTCATGGTTTCCTGCCAATAAATTCATAAAATCATTTATAAATTATGGTTTCACAACAAAATTCTAGAGCAAGTCCTACTTATCTTAATGCAACCGCCAGATCCAAACTGAAAAGTAGCAGTTTTTCTGGATCTTGAAATTCCAATCAAAGTCAGAAACCTTAGTTCCAAGCTTTTCTTTAATTCACTCATGGGGCATATGCATCATTGGCTGGCCAGCATTTATTGCCTGTCTCTAGATGCCCTTGAGAAAGTGGTGGTGAGCAGACTGGTGTCAAGCTCTTGAGTTTTGTTGGAGCTGCACTCATCCAGGCAAGTGGGCAGTATTCTGTCATGCTCCTGACTTGTGCCTTGTACTTGGTGGGCAGGCTTTGGGGAGTCAGGAGGTGAGTTACTAGTTGCAGCATTCCTAGACTTTGACTGCTTTTGCAGCTGTTGTTTTTGTACGGCTATTCCAGTTCAGTTTCTGGTCAATGGTAACTCCCAGGATGTTGATAGTGGGTATTCAATGATTGCAATGATTGTGAAGGGATGATATTTAGATTGTCTCTTATTGGAGGGGTCATTGCCTAGCATAAATGTTACTTGCCATCTATCAGCTCAAACCTGGATATTGTCCAGGTCCAGCTGCATTTATAAACGTACTTCTTCAGAATCTGAGGAGTGTCTAATGGTGCTGAACATTGTGCAGTTATCAGCAAACATCCCCACTTTTGACCTTATGGCGGAGGGAAGGTCATTGATGAAGCAGTTGGAGATGACTGAGGAACTCCTGCAGTGATGTCCTGAAACTGAGATGACTGACCTGCAACAACCCACAACTATCATCCTATGTGTCAGGTATGACTTCACCTGACAGAGAGTTTTCCTCCTGACTCTCATTGATTCCAGTTTTGCTCAGGCTCCTTGGTGCCACCCCCAGTCAAATGCAGCCTTGATGTCAAGGGCATCACCGTCACCTCAATTCTGGCATTCCGTTTTGTTTGATTTTGTTCTGTGCAAAGACTATACAGAACTGATTTAGAACCTTTGTATTTACTTCTAGATTTTTTTTATGAATAAAGTATATTTCTGAAATAAAAAGAAATGCAGCTCTTTTGTCCATGTTTGAACCAAGGCTGTAAAATGATGTCAGGAGCTGAGTGGCCCTGGTGGAACCCAAACTGGGCATCACTGAGCAGGTTATTGCTGAGCAGATGCTGCTTGATAGCACTATTGATAACACCTTCCATCACTTTACCGATGATTGAGGGTAGACTGATGGGGTGGTAATTGGCCGAGTTGGATTTGTCCTGCTTTTTGTGTACGGGCTATTTTCCACATTGATATTACACTTGAGGAAGTTTTCATGCAGAAGGGGGTGCAGAAACTATTTATGAGAATGTTTGCAGTCCCCTATTTCAAGAACTAGTTCCGTGGATAGATTGGAAAAGCTGGAGTAGTTCTCCATAAAGAGAAGTCTGAGAGGAGATTTGATAGAAGTGTTCAAAGCCATGAGCAGGTTGTACAGACTTAACGGGAAGAAATGGTTCCCATAAGTAGAAGGGTTGAGAACCAGAGGATACTGATTTTTAAGGCAAATGAAAAAGAACCAAATGACATGAAGAAAATATTTTCAGACAATATGTGGTTAGGATTTGGGCTACAATATTTGAGATAAATTCAATTGTAGCTTTCAAAAGTGAATTGGTTAATTATCGGAAGAGAAAACAAAATCAGGGCTAGCGCAAGAAGGTTGGGAGAGAGGCTAAATTGTATCTACAGAGAGTTTAGCACACAGACAACAGGCTGAATGGCCTCCCTCTGTGCTATAACCATTCTATGATTCTTTCTTTTGTGCTTCCTCTTTTTTTTTGTTAACATCCAGTTTACGTGTAAGAAATTTGGGGCAGTACAGTGGCTCAGCGGTTAGCACTGCTGCCTCACAGCACCAGGGACCCAGCTTCAATTCCGCCCCTGGGTGACTGTCTGTGTGGAGTTTGCACATCAGAGACAGCAAGAACTGCAGATGCTGGAGTCAGAGATAACAGTGTGGAGCTGGAGGAACACAGCAGGTCAGGCAGCATTAGAGGAGCAGGAGAGTCGACGTTTTGGGCCTAGACCCTTCATTAGGACTTTGGAGGGGGAAGGGAGCTGGGAAATAAATAGAGGGAAGAGGGGTGGGGCTGGGGAAGGTGATAGGTGGATGCAGGTAGGAGTAGTGGGGATTGGTCCATGGGAAGGGTGGGACGGTAGGTGGGGAATAAGATGGACAGGTAGTGTCAGATCAAGGAGGCGGAGATGAGAGGAAGGTTTGGACATGGGATGAGGCACATTCTCCCCGCGTCTGTGTGGATTGCCTCTGGATGCTCCGGTTTCTTCCCACAGTCTTAAGATGTGCGGCTTAGGTGGATTGGCCATGGGAAATGCAGGGTTACAGGGATAGGGTGGGTCTGAGCAGGATGCTCTTCAGAGGCTCAGTGTGGACTCAATGGGCCAAATGGCCTGATTTTCACACTGTAGGGATTCTGTGATTGTAGTGTTCTGAAGGACTGTAGTTTAACATTATTTATATTTTTGTTTTTCAGAGAGTATGATGGGAGATCTGATCTTCATGTTGGAATTTCAAATACCAATGGTAAGCTTTAAATTAAATCACACTTTTTTTAAAAAGAAATAATTTAAGCGCAAGATGACATATTCAAAACACCTTAAGAAAATATAATGAATAATAAGAGCTTAAGAATAGTTAGGACACAGCTTATTCTGTATTTTCTGATTTTAATTTTATTTCTTATTTGTGGGATTATTGGGAATTTGGTATGAAACCTAGAATTTTAACATTAATAACTGCACTAATTGCTACCTCTAATTTCCACCTATACATTCTTCTCAAGACAGGGGACACTATTTATGGCATTGCTCCTGCTCTCTTCGTGACCAGGTGATGTGCCTGTACAAGTAAATCACCTTGGTCCTACTGGCCCATACAGCTACTCCCTCATTAGAGAGAGAGAGAGAGAGATAACTGGTCGTGGTTTAATCTGAGGGTCACCTTGCCTCAGGTGAGGCGAGAGGTTGACAAAGAGAGTCCTTCATCATAATCTCAGCCAATGTGGGAATTGAACTTATGCTGTTGGCATCGCACACAATTGCAAAGCAGCCAACTGAGATAACCGAACCCCATTGTGCTTGTACATTGCAGTGAAGGAGCCTTTTGCCTTGAACAAACAACTAGAGAGCAGAAGAATGACATTAGTCTTTTAGGAAAAGTCTATGCTATTTCATTTAATAAATATTTATATGTGCTGCATGTAGTAGCCGTTTTCACACTATATCTCTTGTTTTTGTAGGAGTTGTGTACAATTACATTGAAACTGGTGTCCAGAGAGATGTTTGTGGTTGGGAAGAATGTGTTTGTGTTCCCCTAGTACAACCAGACATGTATAGTTTAATTAACCAGTGGGATGTTTACTTGGAGCAGTTTTCCACAGCAGATTTATGGCTACCAAACAGGTATGAATTGTAAGACAGGGTCATTTGGCCTGTCAAGTTCATGTTAATGATTTTGCCACATGAAACATTGATTTAAATCAAATTCTTTGGTTCACTCGGCACAGTTTTGATATAATATTTGTAACACTTATCTAATTTTATTTTAAAATAACTTATGGCTTCCATTTCAGCAATTTTTATGGCAGATAGTTCCACACTTATCTACCTTCTGTGACTACAGTAGATTTAATACAAAGGATAGTGTTGCATTGATCACAGTGGCTAAACCTCACTGCATAATTGATCTATATTAATCACATTACATGGACCACTGAACTGAAGCTATTACATGTGAATGTTCCAATTGCAGCCATGATTTTCTGTAGCAGCGTTAGAATTTATACTTTGAGACTATATTTTTTTTAAATTAGCAAAGTTGTAGGCCTTGGTAAAATTGTAAGGTATCACACTTTTATACATTTCTCTTTAGGTGCTCCACTTCAGATGCTCCACTTCCACTCCCATTTTATATCACTGGTTAATTGCACTAATAGATATCATGCTGAAACATGATGAGCTGAGCAGGTTTAGCTTTGTTTAATTGTCTGTAATGTACCCTTCTGGGGAGGTGATGGCATAATGGTATTGTAGATGACCTAGTAATCCAGAGACTCTGGGGCCAAAATCCCACCACAGCAGATGGTGTAATTTGAATTGAAAAATAATCTCGAATCAAAAGTCTAATGGTGACTAAGGAACCATTGTCGATCGTTCCAAAACCCATCTCGTTCACAAAGGAAATCTGCCATCCTTACCTGGTCTGGTGTGTGTGTGACTTTGGACCCACAGCAATGTGGTTGACACTTATCTGTTCTGTGACATGGCCTAGCAAGCCAGTTGGTTGAATCAAACTGCTCAAAATCCTCAAAAGGACTGAAACCAAACCAACCATCTGGCACTGGAAACAACAATCACAAACTCAGCCCTGTTGACCCTGCAAAGACCCCCTTCCTTACATTTGGGGTCTATGGCTGATGGTAAGGGAACCAACAAAAGTGAAAAAATATACTTGACGTCATCCTCACCAATCTGCCTGTCACAGATGTATCTTTCCATGACAATGTCAGTAAGTGACCACTGCACAGTCCTTGTGGAGACAATGTCCCACCTTGACATTGAGAATATGTCACGTTCCATGGCACTATCACTGTTCTAAATGGGGCAGATTTTCAACAGATTTAGCAACACAAGACTGGAAATCCATGAGGCATTGTGGCCTATAGCAGTAACAGAATTGTGCTCCAACACAATCTGTAGCCTCCTTAACCAGCATTTATCCATTCTATCATTAACATTTTAGCCAAAGGAGTAATCCTGGTTCAATGAAGAGTGCAGGAGGGCATGCCAAGAGCAGTAGCAGGCAGACACAATAGAAAAAAATTGAAAGATCACTTAAGTACCCAACAGCATAACCAGCAAGTGATAGACAGGCTAAGCTATTCTACAACAAACAGGTTAGATCTAAACTCTGCAGTCTTGCCACATCCAGTCACAAATGGTGATGAACAACTAAACAACATAATTGAGGTGGAGACTCTGTAAATATCTCCATATCAGTGATGGGAGAACCAGCACAAGATAAGGCTGAAGCATTTGTAATAATCTTCAGTGAGTAATGTTGAGTGGAGGTCCCATCTCAGCCTCCTCCAGAGGTTCCCATTGTCACAGAAACCAGTCGTCAGCAAATTTGATTCACACCAAATTTCTTGATATCAAGAAATGGTTGGGCATAGAATATGGCAAAGATTTTGGGTTCTGACAATATTCTGACAATCTGCTAGTCCTTTACTGGCATGTGAGCATAATCAGATGCTGGATGAAGTCAATCTTGGCTCAGTTGTGAAGGGTGGTCCATTGTAATCATTGTAAAGATCCATTTGGAGATATTGGCATCCCTGAAACTCAATTGGCTGGAGGCAACAACTGTATGAGAATATATTGAGGTGGAGAAAAAGGCCAAACAATTTTCCAGAGCATCATAACTGTACAATTCTCATTTATATTACACAGCTGATCAAAGACAAGTAGCTGTAATCGGTGTTTGCTTTGCAAGTAATGAAGTCAAGTTGTTACTGCACAGTAACACAATAATGCACATATTGGAGCAAATTCCAGTCCTTTTTAAGGGAAGTAACACAGGATGGAGCTGGAGGTCCCAACCCAAAATGTTAACTTTCCTGCTCCTCTGGTGCTGCCTGGCCTGCTGTGTTCCTCCAGCTCCACACTGTGTTATCTCTGACTCCAGCATCGGTAGTTCTTATTATTAAGGGAAGCTCCTTTTTACGTTTTCATTATGTCTCCACATATGTTGTGTATACATAATTCAGCCCCTTCTATTGCAAATCTGTTAAAGAAAATACAGATTATCATCCAACTCTATGTAACCATTATTAACCTACAAGTCTTACATGACACAGTGCAGTAGCATTCAACATTTCCATCCACAGGTCCTTACTTCTTACCTATTCTATGTGTATCAGCAGTTCAAAGCTACTGTTCGATAACCATGTCAATCACAGGAATCAATTTTCTAAACATGATTGCTATTTTGCACAATTATAGGTACAATGAATATGAGCACAACTGCTATTCTTATGCATTGACCTTCATCAACCGTGTGTTGGCAGCACAAAGTAAACGACAGTTGAGTAGGACTGAATTTACCGAGAGGTTTGTGGTTCCACAGACTAAAAGAGCCTCCAGATATATCACACTTCATCGAGAGTTAAGCAGAAGTTACTATTATATCGCAGATGGCTTACAATCCGAAGAAATCAGCACCAGCTTTTTTTAAAGAAAAGCTACATTTAATTATATAAGAAGAAACGTATTTGGAAAAAGATCATTAAAACGACCATCATATTAATAGCACTACATTTCATAATGTTTTCAATTGATAATAAAATAACACTGTGGTCTGTGACTGTTAATTTAAAAGTTTCTAATTTTTCATGTGTACTAAAAATTAATCAATGCTTTAGATAATTGAAAATAATATTTAAAGTAATATAATAACTATATGGTATTTATTGAAGTTTCCAATATAAGTAAAACTTAGTAATCATGTTGATTTTATTTTACAAGGGTAATTTTCTGAATTGTTAACTGGCCAGAGTTTGGGATGTACTTAAATTATTGATCTCTCTTTTCCTCAGCTAAGGAATTTTCCCATCTGTAGTTGACACGACCCTCAACTATGTCCAACGCATCTCCCGCCTTTCTGCCCTCACCCCTTCCTTTCCCTCCCAGAACAATGATAAGGTTCCCCTTGTCCACACTTTCTGCCCTACAGTGTCTCCAAATTCAAAGGATTATCCTCTGCCATTTCTGCCATCTCCAGAAGGATTCCATCGCCAAATACAATATCTCCCTCCCACCCGCCAAATTTCAGCATTTCTCAAGGACCGTCCTTCTATGACAGCATGGTCCACTCCTCCATCATTCCTAACACTTCTTCATTCGCCCATGGTGCCTTTCCATGCAATCACAGAAGGTGTAACACTTGCTCCTCCTCATTCTCACAGCCCCAAACACATCTTCCAAATGAAGTAACATTTTAATTGTAACTGCTGTCAATTTGGTCTCCCTTACATTGGAGAGATGTAGACAGGATGACCACTTTGCAGACCACCTCTGCTTTGTCATGTAGGAATGATGCTGACCTTCCAGTTGCATGCTATTTCAATAAACCACCATGCTCCTATGAAAACATTTTTGCTCTGGGCCAGGAACACTGTTGCACTGAAGCTCAACACAAGCCGGAGGAAGAACACATCATTTTCCGTTAAGGCTCTTTACACCCTCTTGGACTCAATATTGAATTTTACAACTTCACAGCATGACTTTTGCATCCAAGATTTTTTTACATCCTCCAATCTCTACTCTACCCCAAACATACACACTCACATACAAGTCTTGTTGACTTTGCTCTCAGCAGAGGGGACCCATTTTCTCTTTTCCATACCTTCATTTACACACATTTGTATCGTCCCTTCACCCTTCATTAGCAACCCCTTTGCCTTTGACTCTGAGCACCTTCCCAATCTGATCCACTTGCTCCTCTCTCCCCTCATTCCACAGCTGTTTCATTTTCCAATCCCTTCCAAATCTGAAGAAGAGCCATATCAGACTCAAAACTTTAACTCTGTTTCTGCACTGATGTTGCCAAACCTGCTAGCTTTCCCCAGAACTTTCTGTTTTTATTTCAGACCTTCAGCATCTGCAGTATTTTGCTTTTCTTTGAGGTGATTGTCCTTCCAGGTTGAGACTGTTGACTGAATTACAGTATCAACAAACAAGCACTAAATGGTGAAAGAAAATGTATGTAAGAGTTACCAGTCGTAGTGGATGCTTCGACAATAAACTGCCAGTACCTCAAGAAATGAAATGGTAATTTAATTTGCAAATAATGTAAAATTTACATATCTCTAAATTACTTCCTGTTCCATTTAGATTATTGAGAGCATAATTTTCTGCTCCACTGGGATTACATTAATTGCTTTCAGAGAGGAAAATATGTTCAGTTTGTCACTTATCTAGAGTATACAGCCAAGTGACAAAAACTGTAATAAAAGTGATTTAAGATTATGTTCTCTCTATTGTCATTGCTTTATAGCTTACCAAAATCTTTATCAATTGATAGTTACTTTAATTCCTTCATGTGATTGCGTGTTGCTAGCAAGACAAGCATTTGGTTCTCATTGCAAATTGATCCAATGGCAATCAACTTTTTCATCCACAGTGCTGTTAGGAAGGAAGCTCTTGGATTTGACTCAGTTGACGTTGAAGTAACAGTGATATAGTTCCAGGTTGGGATGGCATGTGACTTGGAGGGGAGCTTACAAATGGTGGAGTAATGCATCTGCTGTTTTTGTAATGACTGGACCAACTTGGCTGAGGGCTTGTCTAGCTCTGGAACACAAGTCGCTTGTGCTACTCTCAGGATGTTGTCAATACCCATTACTTTTGGTGTTTTCAGTAACTTCAGCTGTAACATGATGTCACGGAGTGAATTGAATTGATTGAGGACTGACATCTGTGATATTGGAGACCTGAGAAGGTGGCCGAGATAGATAATTCATTCAAAACTTCTGGCTGAATATGCAGTAAATGCTTTTGCCTTGTTTTTGCACTGGTGTGCTGGGTACTTCCATCATTGAGGATGGGAAAATGGTTGGAGCCTCTTCCTTGACTTAGTTGTGTATTGTCCACTGCCATTCACAGCAGAATTGGTAGAACTGCAGAGCATAGGTCTTACCACTGCTTATTGGATTGCTGAGTTACGTTTATTCCATGCTGCTTCCACTGTTTTGTTAAATATGTAGTTCAGTGTAGTAGCTTCACTAAGTTGGTTCCTCATTCTTAGGAATGCACACTGCTGCTTTTCTCATGCTGTGCTGTGCTTCTCCTTGAGCGAGGGTTAATCCTATTGTAGACTGAGGGATATGGCAAGCCATGAAGTTATAGGTTGTGGTTAAACGCAATTCTACAATTGCTGATAACACATTACCCTATAGATGCTTTGTTTGGAGCTGTTCTGTGTTCTCAATCAATCTCATTCAACATGGTGGCACGACTGCACCTGATAGATGGTATCCTCAATGTGAAGACAGGTTTTTGTCTCTATGCCGATTGTGCAGTGTCATTCTTACTATTAGATCTGTGACAAATTAATCACTTAGAATCATACAATCCCTATAGTGTGGAAGCAGGCCATTCAGCCCATCAATTCCAAACCAACTCTCTGAAGAGCATCCCATCTGGATGCAGCCCCCTACCCTATCCCTGTAACCATGCAATCCCCATGGCCAATCCATCTAACCTGCACATCTTTGGTCTGTGCTTCTGCCTTCAAGTTCTCCATTTTGATACCTAATTAGTCCCATCACTCCTCTGAGAACCCTTTTACTCTTAGCATGCTTAGAGAAGACACTTGAATTCTCTTTTGTCTTCAATTAAATTATAACTGACATTTTTTAAGAACTGCCAAATCAAAGTATATGGCAGAACTTAGTGAAATGACATCTTAAGAGTTTAGATCTCTTCATTGAACTCAATCATAAGGAAGGCTCAACAACATAGCAGCCTGTGGAAGCTGCCCCCACCTTTGCAAGTTTAAATATTTGCCTCCTCCATTGCCTTAATTTGGTAACTGCATTGTGTAATTTTGACAAGATACATCATCAATGCTTCTAGAACATCAGCATCCTAAGTGTGGCCTCCACAGCTAAAAAAGATGACCGTACCAGTAGATTGGAAAAACAGAAAGAGGAAGAACATGAGAATGATGATAAGAGTAGGCTGGATCAGCAATTATTCTTATTGAATAAACGAGCAGCTTCAACTCCACTTCTCCACTTTCCTGTCTGTCCACCCTCTCCTCCACTCAAACATTTAACACAGGTTTGAATACACGCAATCACCCAGCTCCTTGCAGTTCTGGAGAAAAGAATCCCACGGCTAATGACACATCAGAGAGAGAAAAATCCCTCCTTAGTCTTAAATGGGAACAGAACTAATTCTATACTCTCCTTCCAAATAGAAACATCCATCCTGTCACATTCCTTTTGAATCTTACATTCTTGATAAAGCATCTGTGATTCAAATAACTTGGACATTTATTCACATTCCTTCATTATAATGGAATCAAAATCTTTATCTCTAGCTTTCATCACTTTGAGAAGCCACACAAAGCATTGTCTGCAGCATATCAAAATGTGTATGGGTCTGATAGAGTTAAAACAGAGGAATGAGTTCATCTTTAACCATTATGATGACATCACATAGGTTTGTGGGCAGAAATGTTGAAGATCTGAGGAAAGATCCACAATCTAAGCTTTCAACCCACGTCTCTACAACAGAATTGACCGAGCCCGGAATAACATGGGTTACGATAAGAAATTTGAGAAAACTGAGACATCATGCCATGCCACTCTCAAGGTTGAGAGCAAAAAGTTGCTTTTTCAAACAGAGTCTCCAAACGTTGAGATGAGATTCGTGCTAGTGAGTGATGAGAGGCCTATTAACAAAGATTACAGTTTATTATCAACCTCATAATTACTTAATCTCTTCTCATTAATATGCAGCCTCCCAATCTAGGGAATCGATGCTGAGAACACCCGACAGGAAAGTCAGAGCGGGTCACTTGAGCTCACTACTTCCTCTGGCCCTCAACCTTGGATACCCAGCTCTAACAGCTCAGGGCACACTTCATGGGCACTGGCCACATAAACCCCTCCACATATCACCAAAATTGGCATTTGACAAGCACCAGTCTCTCTGCACTATTGCAGCACATCCTCAATCCACTGACAGTATGAAAACTGAAAGAACTGCAGATGCTGTAAACCAGGAACAAAAACAAAGTTGCTGGAAAAGCTCAGCAGGTCTGGCAGCATCTGTGAAGAAAAATCAGAGTTAACGTTTCGGGTCTGGTGACCCTTCTTCAGAACAGACAGTATGGTTTTGCACCTCAATGCTCCACTTTGGAGCACACTGATACCTCTCATTGTTCTTGCAGCAGTATCACACTGTGTGTACAGGAACAGGCACCTGTATTCTGCATCGAAGCAAGCTGCTGCTCAGGAATCCTTGCTTTTCCCCTTAACTTCAAGCCTGTTTGGATGCACCCATCGTCTCTGCTTTGTCTTGCCTTTCAGTGTTTTGTTACCCCAGATCAGAACTTACAGGCTCACTCCTTCCAACTCGCTGGTGTCATTGTATGCTTTGCCAGTCTCGAGGAAGAGGATGTCCCTTCTCTCACCAGTTTGTCCCACTGGGACATTCAAGTCCATGGCCACAAAGCAGTGCTTCAATTTCCCCTTCTCAGCCATGTTGGGGAAAATGTCATGTGGTGCAGGGCAGCTCTGCATGACAGTATTTCACAATAACACGACGGATATTTAAAGACAGTGCCAGCATCAGGGATCCCGAGATTTCCCAGCGCTGGTGAATACTTCCACCTACACAGTGGGTGGGAGAATCAGGCTAACATTGGACAAGACAGGCATCACAAGGATGTGGTAGGTAGTTAAAAAGGCACTTTTAGGATGAAAACAGGAGAGAAATTGTTAGGTCTCAGGGAGAGAAGTTCTCTACAAAACTCATTAAAGTGGCACTTTGCTGATTTTTGATAAGATCCCGTCCAATATCAAGCAATATCATGAATGTAAGTTGTACCTCGTTGCTATTATGCAATATACTATACATTGCTCAACAGCCTCTTCTCATTAGACTAACCAGTCGGCTGCATCTAACCTACTAGATCAGCAGGCCCTGTGGATCACTACCAGGAAAATTGTTTGTGCAGCGAATGTCAACATGACAGCCTGTCACAGCACTAATTCAGAACTTTTGTGGAATCCAAATATAATGCCTTTGATCTGGCTGTGTTTAATAAGAGAATGTGTCAGAAATGGCATTATATGAAAAAGCATTCTGACAAGTGTGATGTCTCAACAGTTTTGGAGAGAATTAGAAGTTATCAACATACATGTGGAAGTTAATCCTATAACATTTCCATAAAGTCATACAAATTAAGAAACAAAGGGACAAGGCCATAATGTAAAATGGGACGCTGCAAGTTACAGACATACAATAGAACCAAGTAGGGTGAGTCCTAAATGAGTTAACTGCAGAGGTGGGGAAGAACATAGAACCATAAAATGATTAAGAGCATAAGAGATCCCCATTGGGCCTATTGATTCTATGCCAGCTCCCTATGACTGCAGTCAAGCTAGTTCAACTCTGCTAACCTTTCCACATTATCATGCTTTTTAAAAATAATCTTCAGGTGTTTATCCAATTCTATTTTGAAAAAAATTCACATGTTTGTCCACCCAACCAAAATAAACAAATGAGCTATATCTTTTAGCAATTTATTTTGAAGGCAATTCTTTCATTGAAATCTTCTAGAAATATAGATATAAATATGCAAACTGCTAAAGAACTCCCCATCATGATATTAAATATTATTTGAAATAAATATTTTCTACTGCATGTGATAATATTTTGTAAAATTATGGCTAATTGTATGCATATAGCACAGCACATTTGTCAATACCGAACCAAAGTGTTATCAGGATGAAGCTCAATAATACAAATTGTAAAAACGTTTAAGATGAATTCTTCAAAGAAAGCACTAATATTAAATTGACCTGATATATCTACTTTGTCACATTTTTAGCATTTGTTTTGAACTAAACATAAATGTTTAATGCCACATACCATAAGCCTCATTACAAATGTAACCAAGTAGTGCAAGGTCTAAAATATTACTGTTTCATTCTTATAATGAATCTATATAACTGTAGCGCAATTTTATGGATAAAGTCTTGGACAGTTATCTGAAGCCACATTCTTTTATTTGGCAGGTTAAATAATAGTCAGCAGGAGCAGGCTTTTAAATCAGTATTTATCCTTATTATCTTCAATGGTTCTATAAATATTTAAAAGGCTTAAAATCTGAATTTGACCTCCACATCAGTCACAAGAGCTATCCATTCACATAGCTTAATATGGGCAGATCGGTTTTCAAGAAGTTTCCATTAAGTGTTCAAGCAAACAGAATAAACTGGTGTAACTCTGCCTTCATGGCCATGTGGAATTAAGGGATTAGTCATGAAAAATAAATGCATGATGCATAAATGCTGTAAACTGTGAGTATTGATTATCATTGGCAATTATAATGTGATACACTGCCATTGCCACGTATAATGCATTCACGTTTTAACTCTTAGTATCACAGCGCAGTTTAAATTTGATGATTTCTGTAGTTCTGCTTATGTGTTCAATTCGAACTGACATTATCAATAGTTTCACTAGATGCTTTTCTGCATAATTGAAAAAAAAAATCAGGTTTTCATCAAAACAAAACAGGGATTAAACAGTGGAGAGAAAGTCAACGTCCTGAAACAGCAGAGAACTGAACATTGTAGATTGAGATCAGTTGTTAAAATGAGATCAGTTGGCACATTTGTTTTGACTTTTATTAGCACTGCATTTTGTTGAAAAGAGAAGTTTTTTTTTCCCCAATTATTTTTAAACAGTTGAACTATCCTGGTATTTAAAAAAGTCACCACTGCGAATACTCAATAATGGAATCACAGTCAAAAAGAATGTCACTTTTTCAATTTTATTAACTTCAACTGTACATCTAGTTTTACATAAATTTATTTGGCCCCTGCATTAACCGACTTTATTAATACTTTATAATATGCTACAACTCTTCTTGGTCAGTCCGTTCACGGGAAGAAATCCAACGGCTTACAATTAGCTCCTGAAACAAAGGAAAAACAAAATTAGTTCTCAAATAATGATACGATATAAACAAAATTAAGGCTAACACTATGGTTACTGTTGGTTTTTTCATCTACCGATAATAACACGAAAGAAAATCCATTGCACCTGAACTTTAATTTTCTTCATACATTCAGGTGATGTCATTTCCTCATCAGTCATATTTGATGGCTTAATTAAATAGCATAACAGAAGCTCCTAGAACAAAAAAAAACGTTTTAGTGCCAAGATTAAAATAAGCAAAAACTCTAGTATAAGAAAATACTTATCTGACAAAGCATGGCAGTAATTCAATGTGGCATGATGACCAAGTATCAGCCAAAACATCTGCTTAGTTTTCTTCTTCAGATACTTCTTCAGGTACTTCTTGACCCCCATGTATTTATAGTAATTTCCACAATTCTTTCTTCAGATCTTTAATACCCAGTTTTTTATTTTTAATCTCCAAACAAAAATAGACACTTGCTACTTATTTTGATCTGCAGAAGGAAATTACCAGCAAATATCTTTCATATCTTTGAACTTTAATACATTTGAGCCGACTACTGTGAAGTGGTTAATGTTGAATCAAATATATGTGAAAGTACAGATCAGTTAACAAAAATGGTTTATGATGTAACTTTTTAAATAAAAGACTATGTAGCAGCTGGGAACTATACAGCGGTCAGTTGTCCTGCAATATTATTTGGAACTTTCTACGTAGCTAGGCGGCATATTTTTTAAGGTGAGAGAAGAAAGATTTTAAAAAGTCATGGGGAGCATTTTGTTTTTAAACACAGAGTGGTTCGTATGTGGAATGAACTTGCAGAGGAAGTGGTGGATGCGGGTACAGTTACAACATTTAAAAGACATTTGGATAAATACACGAATAAGAAAGGTTTGGAGGGATATGGGCCATGCGCAGGCAGGTGGGACTAGTTTAGTTTGCGAACAGCATGGACTAAAGTGTCTGTTTCTGTGCTGTATGACCAGGACTATTTCTCAAAATATATATTCAACTTTAAAAGCATAATAAAATCATAAATTGGAGAAATATTTTTATAGGTTGCTAATGACCAATTAAAGATTTAAGAAATAAATTTAGTTGTGATAATTATCAGAATCTGAACAGCTCTAATTAGAAGAGCAACAAGTGGGATAGCCGAGAAAGACTTCAGAAGATTATAGATACATCAGCAAAATGGGCAAAACACGAAGCAGGTAAGTTAAAAATGTTGAGGGGGTTAAGAAGATATCATTGGATCCCTACACATGAAAGAGGCCATTTAGCCGACTGAGTCTACACTGACCCTCTGAAGAGCATCCAACCCATACTCCCCCATCCAATCCCTGTAACCCCACATATACTATTGTTAACCCATCTAACCTACACACCCCTGGACACTGTGGGTAATTTAGCATGGCCAATCCACTTAACCTGCAGATCTTTGGACTGTGGGAGGAAGACAGTGTGCCTGAAGGAAACCCACGCAGACAGAGAGAATGTGCAAACTCCACACAGACAAGTCACCAGAGGCTAGGACCGAACCCAGGTCCCTGGCGCTATGTGGCAACAGTGCTAGCCACTGAGACACTGTGCTGCCCGCAATGGAAGCATACAATCCACGGATACATGCTGAAACATGTTGAAGAAAAAGCGATATAGGGGAGCAAATTCAGTTTTCCTTAGAAGTACCCATGCAGATAAATCTGAAGATAATGAAATGGTATTTTGAGTTAAACAAATAAGGGAAGAGAGTACGAGATCAATGGGATTATGATTAATTTGTATCATTAGGCTGTAGGAAAAAAATTATGGGAATTTGAGGGATGGAAAGGGCATTACACCCACAGAGTGTACAGTGTAGATCCATCTGAATGAAATCAGCACTAAGGTTCAAACAGGAGAATATTTGAGATGGGGGAACTATTTTCACTTCCATTTATATGGCAACCTCCATGCTCTCAGGTAAATAAAAATACTTCGCAACAAATGAAGTACTTTTGAATAAAGAAAATAGGTAAACAAAAAAAAATCCTATTGCCACTTCTTGGACAGCAAGTAAATGCTAATTTAAAATTGTTATGAAGAGAGAGATCGTTAGAAATTTCTTGACACACTGCTAATAGAGCATGAGATGACTTTTCTCACAAGCAGTGGTTGAGGTGGGGGCCTCCTGCATCTTTTAAAGGAACAGCAAATACATATTTAAACACAAAGACTATCCAGTGATTTGAAGAGAAAAAGAATTAGTTTTGGATTGTTCCAGCAAAGATCCACACTGGTTAAAATGACTTCTTTCAATGATAAATTTCTTTTGTTACAAATGCCATCTACTATTATGGAGGTGCCAAATTTCTCAACAATCCGAAGTAGATGCCTTCTCTGAAAATTTACAACCCACAAAAAGTGACAGTTGAGACCAGGGGAGCAATCCAGGAATTTTTAATATCATTACAAAATAGCAGAATGGAGAGGGTGGGGTTTAGGGCAGCACAGTGGCTCAGTGGTTAGCACTGCTGCCTCACAGCGCAAAGGACCCAGGTTCAATTCCAGCCTCAGGCAACTGTATGTGTGGAGTTTGCACATTCTCCCTGTGTCTGCGTGGGTTTCCTCCAGATGCTCTGGGTTCCTCCCACAGTCTAAAGATGTGCAGGTTAGGTGGTTTGGCCATGCTATATTGCCCATAATGTCCACAGATGTGTAGGCTTGGTGAATTAGCTATGGGAATATCAGGATTACAGGGATAAGGTGGGTGCTCTTTAGAGATTGGTGTGGTTTTGATGGGCTGAATGGTCTGCTTCCACATTGTAGAGATCCTACGAATGTTGACATAAATTGAATTTCAGGCCATATGCCTTATGAGAGCCTTTACCTTAGAGACGTTAGCAGTGGTTCGGCTTAAACCAGCAAGAGATCTCCATGTAAAAGGCCTACGTTGTGAACCCTGATAACTATCATCAAGCATTTCAATTACCACTGAATAACTGCAGACAAAGATAAAAATATCATCAGAACATTTGGACAACATACAGCAGAGCAAGATGTTTATACAATTACTTATTTCACACACTGTCCGTACCTTGCATGATAAAATGGAGGTCCTTTACGATATAATACTGAAATACAAAGAAAAATCAGGATCATTTTGAAATCTGGTACATGGAAGTGCTACATTCTAACTTTGTTTAGTTGGACCAGCCTAAGAAATACGGATTATTATTATGTGACAAGGATATTGCCCTCATCTAGTGTTATCTGAACTTCTCCATAAAACACACTGATCTTACCTGACTTGGGAAAGTGCTGAGCTATGTCAGTGAATTATTACCAAGGAAGGATAGTTTATGGCTCCTTCTAAATTTCATATATTTTTTAAAAAAAACCTGAAGTAACATGTTACTTTTTAAAAAAATGTCTGTATTCTGTATGGATAACTTTCCAGAGGCAATTTGTTCACAATAACAGATATTGGTTGTATGTATGAAAAAGGGCTAAAATGCCAACTAAATAAACATACAAGATGTAACCTTCCAAAGTAATCCTAATTTCATAGGAAACTAAACTAAACTGTTATATTGTTAATAAATACAGAAAATGCTCAGAAAAATACAGCGGATCTGGCAGTATCTACAGTGAAAAGAAACAGAATTAACAGAGTTTGGTTGAGTCCAATGATTCTTCTTCAGAACTGAAAGGGACTGGAAAATGGTGTGTTAACGCTACTGACTCAGGGGAGAGGAGCAGATAGAACCGATGGTGAGGGTGCCCAGACCAAAAACCAAAGAGAGTGCTAATGGTGGTAAAAGACAGATTTGGATGAAAAATACATGTAAATGACAGGCTGTACACAATACCAAAGCACACGACCGCAAGTTTACAGATAATAACACCGGCTATCCAAACAGCTAAATTTTGTTATGAGAAAAGCAACAAGGCCAGCGGAGTGAAACAGCAAAAGAACATATACCAAATAGAGAGAAAGATGTGCGAGACCAAGGAACTAATTGTTATGCAAATAGATACCCTATGGACCACATTTACTGTCACACTGCATCAGCCTGTCAATCCATCAGCCATGGAGTTGAGAGCAATACACAATGAAGCTCCAGTATTTTGAACCTGAAGTGTGATCATTTCTGACTTATGGGAACTAGGAGACATATCACTAACTGATCCTAAAATGGCAGTGGACTTGTTCACCTGAAACTATTATCTCCTGTAAAAAAAGGATAAATGTTAAACAGAAAGGGAGATCTGAGATCATTAATGCCTGAAGCATGACAGCCAACAAACTGAGATGGATAATAAGTGACAGAAAATGTCTCGGGCTTGGCATCAATAATTTAACAGAATCCTTCTGCAATAAATCTCACGGTTGTGTATAATGTGCCAGGTAATCAAATGACTCTTTTAATGAATGGTGCAAATAAAAGGTAACCTGATTCCTTAGTTAGTTTTCAATTTAGCCGTAAATTATCATGCCTCACAACTTTTCTAATACAGAATGCTATTCCTAAAGGAATATTGGATTACAATAGTAACGACAGCCATTGTGATAGATACAATGTGCTGTCGAAATAAAGGTGGGAGGCAGCTTTGGGCCTTCCAAGTCCCTTCAGTAGGTTCTCTATTTCAATCAGCTCCGTGTTGGTTTAATTCCAAATGCAGTAAATTAGGAAACAACGCAGAGCAGAGAGCATGGGCACAGAGTACTTAATTCGTCTCAATAACTGCTAGAAAATTATGCCGAATACAAAAATACAATAGAAAGAGGCTGCATCCGTAGGTCTAGGTGGCTGGGAGCAGTTTATCTATATTCGCAGATAGTAGGTTATTGAATGATCAGTGAGACAGAGAAAAAGATTTGCAACTATATACCACCTCAAGTCCACCAGGGCATCAGTAAATACTTCAAAACTATTCAGTTTGACTGACTTCTGAGGCAACTCAGCAGCCAGATTGGGCACAGCAAGCTCCCACAATGGGTAATGTGATAATTAACACATAATCAGGTTAATGAACTAATATACTCCAGAACACCAGGGAGAATAACTCTACCCTTTGAAATAGTCCTACAGAATCTTTTATGACCACTTGAGAAGGTAGCTGGAGCCTCAGTTTAATATCAGAAAGACAGCACCTCCATCACAGCAACACTGTTCAGTAGTCTGCAGTAGGACTTGAACACAACCTTCTGATACAGAGCTGCATTAAGCCTCAGAAAATGTTCATCGAGACAAAATAAAAATTAAGAAATCTTCTGGTCATTACAGAGTCACATGTAAAAACTTTGATGTTTCAGAACATAAGAAAAGTAGTAAATTACAAAACTTCCTCTTATTCATTACTTAAATAGTCTTCCATGAGTATCATGATGTTTTCCAGCTTCCATTATTGAATATTTTACTGAAAATATGGTTAACTTATCATAACAGCAATAGAATGGATTGAGACATAATTCACAGCAAAATAGGACACGATGAGAAGATACAAATCATTGAAAATGTTAGAAATATCAAATGAAAATAGAAAACACAGCATTTACCCCAAAATTGTCAGTACTTGTGTAAAGACAAGACAGACTCTGCTGCTTCAGTTGATAGGAATTTTGTTAATTTGTCAATACAGAATTGTTGATCAAGAATGCAGCAAGATTTCATCAATATTCATCCAGGTTCCAGACATTAAAGGCAATAACAAATATTGTTGTGATTCCATTATGGTCAACTGCAGGAGATAAATTCAACCCTGAGCTTCTTTTGAGTCAGATGATACATAGGTGACAAAGTACAAAACTCCAATAACCAAATGCAATTCACAAGCCATTGATTGACAATGTACTGAAGATAGTTTCTTGTTACTCTTCTCCTCATCACTTGTGGGCTTGATCTTTCAACCTGCTGGCTCAGATGCAAGAATTCTAACAGCTGAATCATGCTGATGGCTAGGATTAATTTTATTTTAATCTCCAAGTCTTACTAAATACAGCTGGCGTATACAGAATAAACCAATCAAGAAAATGCATGAGTTTGAACATACATAAAAGGAATTTCAGATCAGGAGTTTGCAATATTGACAAATGGTAGATGCAAATTATCAGATTTTGTACAAAAATGTAATAGGAAAGGAACTGCACACATTAAAATATGCCAAATCTGACATCTTTGATTAAAAGCTGCCCTACATCATAGCCCTACAGTATCCTAGCCATTCCTCACGTGCAAGATTTGATGATGAGTGTTGGTGGGAAATGTGATCTTGAATCACAAAATTGTTACAGTGTAGGAGGAGGACATGTGGCCAATTGTGCCCGTCACTGGTTCTGTGAATGAAAACTTTGTTTAGTACCAAACCCCCATCCCATCACTGTGAACAAACAACAGCTAAATTCCATTTTGAAAGCATTGATGAAACGTGTTCCGCCCCCACTCTCAAGGAGTGTATTCCAGACGTTAACCACTCTCCTGTGAAAAAGCTCTCTTTCCCATATTACTTTTGCTTCTTTTGACAATCTCCTGCACTTGATCCTTCCATGAGTGGGAAAAATTTCTCCCTGCCCACTCTGTTCAAAGTCATGAGGGGTCTGGATATCTCCATCAGATCTCCTCTTACCTTTCTCATCAATCGAGGAAAGCTGTCCTAACCTCCCCCTTCAGTTTTAATAACTGAAATTCCTTATTCTTGGAAACGTTTTTTGCACTCATTCCAATGTCTTCGCATCCTTTCTAAAGTGTTACAAACAGAATGGCATGCAAAAAACCATCTGAGGCTGAACTATAGTAAAAATTTAATGTAATTTCCTTGCTCTTGTATTCTGTGCACTATTAATAAAGCCAAAAAGACAGTGTGCTTTCTTAACCACACTCTCAACCTGGCATCTTTAGTCTTTTATGCAAATATATACCCTGGTTCCCCTGCTCCTACATCGTCTTTAGAGCTGTACTTTTTTTATTTTGTGTCTCAATGTTCTTCCTACCCAAAAGTAAATGACTTCGCATTTCTCTGCATTGAACTTCATCTGTCACCTGTTCATCACTCAACTAAGATAACAAGGTGTAGAGCGGGATGAACACAGCAGGCCAAGCAGCATCAGAGGAGCAGGAAGGCTGACGTTTTGGGCCTAGACCCTTCATCAGAAGGGTCATTTT